AACTGTGAATGAATAGAACAAAATAAATTGCCTGTGATGGAAAAAAAAATTAAAAAAAAAAAGAAAATACTTAAAAAAAAAAAGGAATTTCTTTTCATTGATCTGGTTTGTGGTCAATACAACCATTAAGTAGGTTCATTTCCTAAATACAATATGACAAGCAAGCAAGAAACACGTGTATGTTAATGAAGACACAAATTCTTGGCATGCAGGACATAAAGAAATAAAACTGAGATTCTGGAAGCTTTCACTCTGCTGGCTAGTTTTCACAGTGCTGGAAGGTTCTGTTTAGGCTGCTGGGGGAATAATTGCTATAAATAGTCTTACTCAGTTGTGACCTTTTAATGCTATACTGCTAACATGCCAGACATGATGTTTTCACAGGTGTAAGAGTGCCATGACTATTATGAGGATAACCAGCTGCTTTCTGACTGGATTTGAAGCCCTCTCCAAAGAAGGGAATTTATTATCTGGTATTGTAAAACTGGTCTGGGTAGGTGATAAGCCCTAGTGGGGAAGGTACTGCGGTTGTCTTGCTAAGTGGACACAATGTGACTGTCAAATTGACTGCTAAATTCTTATCATTCTGCCCATAGGTTAGTGTTGCTTCCAGCCTTGGCCAGAGAAGCTTGTTTTTGCACGGGTTTATGCTTATTGCAGAGACTCATGACTGGTCAAAGTGCTGAGAAGAAGTGACTTTTATGCCTAGCCCCAACTGAGACTTCAATATTACCTCTTCCAAGTCTCAGGAACCGTATGGTAGAAAGAATAGAAAGAATGTAACAGCAGGAAGAAGTCCTAGGTAGTTAGAACATTGTCTTTTGGGCAAAACATAGATGTTGCACTCTTGACTTTCAGCAGCTGTGATGATATACACAAGACTTGCACAAGATTGGGCTCATGGTCATCCCATTGTGGAAAGAGAAGGAGCTCATGAGGCCTCGCCTCATCCCTCCCAGAGGCTCTGTAGGCAACTGATGGTTGCTGAGGGAGAGTGAAGGGGGTGGGGTGGGCTTTCCTCGTGTTGTAGCCACTGATAAGTTGTCTGCCCTCTTGTAAGTAACTCCTCACCTATGCTTTGCTAAGTAACCTTAATTAAACTGATTAGTTTATAAAATAAAGTCATGAAGTAGAAGATGGCCTCACTGGGAAGAGGAACAGAGTTAGTAAGAGTCTGAGGGGCACAGAGGAGGGTGATAGAGGTGAATATAATCAAAGCACACTATACAAAAGTGTGAAATTGTCATAACAAAAGTCGTTACCATGTATAATTAACATATGCTAACATTTAAGACAAGAAGTACTTATTAGTTAAAACCACACAGTAGAAGATGTTACCACTTCGCTCCCCACTCTTCCCGTCTGCTGAGGTTGAAGACATATCTATGAGCAAAGAGAAGAAGAAATGTGTGTGTGATCACTTTCCAAACAGAAAGAGGAAAAACTATGATTGTGTTTCACTTAAGAAATGTGATGGGCTGTGGAGGAACCCCCAGAGACAGCTGACCTGAGCTTGTGGGAGCTCACAGACTCTGGACCACAGCTAGGGAGCCTGCATGGGACCAAACTAGGCCCTCTGCATGTGGGTGACAGTTGTGTAGCTTAGTCTATTTGTGGGGCTCTTGGCAGTGGGATCAGAACCTGTCCCTGGCACCTGAGCTGGCTTTTGGGAAGCTATTCCCCATGCGGGGATACTTTGCCCAGCCTTGATGTAGGGGGAGGAGCTTGGTCCTGCCTCAACTTCATATCCCATGCTTTGTTGATTCCCATGGGAGGCCTGCCCCTTTCTGAACCGAGCCAGAGGAGGAGTGGATGTGGGGGAGGGTAGATAGAAGGTAGGGGGAGGGGATGGGAGGAGAGGAGGGAGGAGAAGTTGCTAGGTATGTAAAAATAAATGAAAAATTTTAATAATAATAAAAAAGAAATGTGATGGGGTGAAAAGATCACCAGAGGAGATCTCTGCTATGATTAAAGATGCATCTGTGTGTAAACCCAGAGAACAAGATGCTCTGAAATGAGTAGAATGGTATTGGGGGAGTTCTCATTCACTTTACTTTATGGTTAGTGTAAAATCAAGTTTACTTTATAGATACAACACAACAAATAAGTAATTTCTTCATTAGCTAAGCTGCACTATGGAGGGCTTTACCATTTGGAGAGCTTGATTCAGCTGAGGTTGAAGAAGCATCTATAGACAAAGAGAAATAAATATTTAGATAATTTTCCAAATAAGAAAAGAAAGGGCTGTCATTTGTTTAATGTAAAAACATGACAGGCAGAAAACATTACCAGAGGCACTATCTTCTTTGGAGACTGAAGAGGCATCTGTGTGTAAAGCCAGAAAACAGAGACTTGTCATTTTAGTGTCTTGGTATGAGAAGGTGGCTCAGTAGGTAAAACACTCGCCTTGAAAACTTGTGAATCTGAGATCAATTCCCAGAACCCATGTGAAAATGCCTGGAGGGATGAGAACTTGTAATCCCAGCACTGGGGAGACAGAGCAAGAGGAACCCTGTGCCTGTGGCCAGTCACTCTAGCTCAATTAGTGAGCTCCCGGCCAATGAGAGCCCCTGTGTCAAAGAAGATGGATGGTGCTCCTGAAACTGATACCCAACATTGTCCTGCAGTCTCTACATATGTGTGCACACAGGTGCAAGAACACTATCATGTGCATGCACTATCACAGATGCATGCACTATCACATAAGAACACACAGAGAGAGGGATGGATAGATAGATAGTTATCTAGATGGATAGATAGATAGATAGATAGATAGATAGATAGATAGATAGATAGATAGATAGATAGATAGAAAGAACTGGTAATTTTTTTATTTTCAAATCTTTGGATAATGTAATCCTTAACTAGGGATTTTTTAAATATAACTTGCAAACTACCCAAATATAGAAGCACAATGAGGAGCTTCCCAGGTAGAGAGTCTGCTTCTATTGAGAAATAGCTATAGACCCATAGGAGAGGAGTCATACTTAGATTATTTTTCTAATGAAAAAGGGGAAAGTTCTGATTGTATTTAAATTAATAGATGTGACGTGTTGAAAACATTACCTGAAGAAGTCTCTTCTGCTGAGGCTGAAGATGCATCTGTGTGTAAACCCAGAGAACAGAATGATTTTTTTTAAATGACAGTCTTCCATTGATCTTTGCATTGTGGTCAATATGATTTAAGTCGTTTAGTTTTCTAATATGAATATTCTGTTGTTGAAGATACCATACACTTTGCTGGCAAAGCATGCAGAAATGAAGCTGTAACTGAGCTGGAAGCTTTCTCCCCACTGGCTGGCTTTCATAGTGTTTGAAGATGCTGTGTGAGCTACTGGGGAAGAACTGTCCTTAGCAGCATTTCTCATCTGTAAACCCGAAAAGCTATAATACTGACTTTCCCGGAAAGATGTGTCCACTATTGTAAGAGCGCCATGGCTCTTGTAGGCGTAACTGACTCTTCTGATTGGCTGTGAGGCTGCTCCATAGGAGTTCTGTGTGTGGTCACCCTGGTTCCAGAGGTGACAGGCTCTAGTGGCAAAGCCACGGTTGTTGTTTTGCTAAGTGGATGTGACACGGCTGTCAAATCGACACCTAAGTAACTGTGTTTTGATGAGTGCTGGTTTTAGCCTTGGTCAAAGAAGGTTCTTTTTGCAATAGTTGGTAGTTACTGTAGAGACTCATAACTGGCCCAAGTGATGATAACAAGCGACTTGAATGCTCAGCCTTAAATTGGACACTTGTTTCCTCTCTAAGATGGGGGGGGGTAGCATGTAATAATAGGTTTATCGTGGTTTTATTTAAGACTGTAGTTAGCTCTAATGATTCATGCTTCATTATGAAAACTATATTTAAAAATCCTTTAAAACAAAGCAAGTGTAAAAGCCGGAGGAAGTGATGGAGAGCTGTGGGACATTATTTTCTGGGTATGGTACACTTGCACTCTTGAACTCTCCCCTGATGTAATTACCTGCACATGACTTGCCCAAGGTTGATCCTATAGTCATTGTCATGGAAGTGGGAGACTCATGAGACCTGCCACTCCTTAAGGTTCTCTACAACAACTGATTGCTATGGGAGGGAGGGGGCATTGACTTTAGTGGCATAAGCCACTGCTAAGTTGCCAAGGCTTTCAGAAATAACCCTCAACTATGCTTCTCCAGTAACACAAATCAACTCATGGGTCCATAAAATGAAAGGCACCAAAGGAGAAAAGGTCCTCACTGGGAAAAGAAACAGGGTTAGGTGTAGTGTGAGGAGGATTGGACAGAGTATTGGGTGTGAATTTCATTAAACATGCTATGTACACATATGAAAATATCATAATGAAATTCACTATTCTATATAATTAAATGTTATTTTTTAAAAGGGGGTGCTGGAGAGATTGCTCTCTGGTTAAGACTGCCTACTGTTCTTCTAGAGGACTCAAATTCACTTCCCAGCACTCACACTGGTGGCTCACAGCTGTCTGTAACTCCAGCTCCAGTTGGATCCTAAGTCTCTGGTCTCCATGGGCACATACACTCATATGTACATATATGTGCACACTCAATAGACACAACTAAGATTTTTTTAAAAAGAATTTCATTTTTTAGACAACACAGTGAAGGACTTTACCAGTTGGCTCTCCACTCTTCCCTTCTGCTGAGACTGAAGACGCATCTATGTACAAAAAGAAAAAGAAATGTATGTATGTGATCACTTTCCAAATAGAAAGAGGAAAAACTATGACTGTGCTTCACTTAAGAGCTGTGATGGACTGAAAGATTACAAGAGGAGATCTCTGCTGTGATTGATAAGAAAGTCACCTCATTTAGCTAAACAGAGTATTGGGGACATTACCAGATGGAGAGCTGGATTCAGCTGAGGCTGAAGAAGCATCTATAGATAAAGAGAAATAAATATTTAGATAATTTACCAAATAGGAAGAGAAAGGGCTGTCATTTGTTTAATGTAAAAACATGACAGGCAGAAAACATTACCAGAGGCACTATCTTCTTTGGAGACTGAAGAGGCACCTGTGTGTAAAGCCAGAAAACAGAGACTTGTCATTTTAGTGTCTTGGTATGAGAAGGTGGCTCAGTAGGTAGAACACTCGCCTTGAAAACTTGTGAATCTGAGATCATTTCCCAGAACCCATGTGAAAATGCCTGGAGGGATG